CGCATAATTGTATTTTGTAACTTCACTCATCATATCATAGATATTAAATATAGGAAAAATAAGTTAATCGTGAACACATCTCTTAAGGATGTTAAATTAATAGCAATAAGTGTAATTCTATACTTATTGTGTTTCACCCTTTGATGCTAGTTTTAATCCAAAGTTAACAAAGTGATCTGAATTTTATTGTTAAATGTTGTTGAAATTGATATGGGGTCGTCATCTACGTGACAGTATTATTTGTCATAGCTGTTTTCATCGAGTCAATTACGTATTGAAATGGTATCAATAGGGAAGTTTCTGATTTTCGAAAATGTATCACTTTATTGCTACACGCGCCAAAAAACATTCTAATGTGAGATATTACTTTTTTTTGATGATATTGATGTATATATCACTAAAAACCATGTCACTCATGTCCTTGTTCGGTGTAAAACTTGGAACATACTTGTCGGATTTTGATGAAATTTTCACGCAACGTTGCTACTATGTCAAGTACGAAGCTGCGTAGTTTTTGAGAATCGGTCCAGTGGCTGCAGAGAGAAAGGCCAAAAATGGAATAATATAAATAGCTCAAACTTTTTAGGATGCTGATCATTTTCGAAAACATTTTTAGTGGTAAAAAATGGAAGGACGGGGGCATGTAGTGGGTGGGGGAGGGTTTGTCGCAATTTTCTGAAGTCAGTATGTTAATGAATGCACTTCCAACCCTATTAGAAATGTTTCACACGTCAAAAATTAACCTGCACATTTGCCCTTAATACTTAGAATCAGAAAATTGTTTTCGTATCTGCGTCTGCTGACAACTGCCGCGGCTGGCTTACCGATGTTCGTATGTGTCCTACATCACTGGTGCTCTGCTGCCTGTGATGCATCATGCTTTCAGATATTGGGGATATGCGATGCGACGTTGCCAGAAGAACGCTACTACGGGCAGGGTAGGGAAAAAATGTTATGGACTAATTGTATGGGCCTGTTTGACAGAGTTAAGAGGGTCTAACCAAAGACAGCTGTCTCATGCTTTTTTGGCAATTCATCAGCATGGTCTAGGCTTGGTCTCAGGGACAGCGAACGAAAGCATATCAAATCCAATATAACGTCTTGTTTCGATAAGGTCTGACTTGTGCTGGACGTGAACTGATAACGGTGTTGCGTGGACAGTGTAGAGTCAACCAACTTGACGCTATTTTTTCATAATCATGTTTTTGGGATGCTCCTTGACATGAAACAACAGGTTTCCGGGCGGTAACCCAGTGCAAATTCATTGAAACAAATTACAAAAATTGTTTTTCTTTTCCAGCCACCGGCAGTTTTTTTTTTGTTTGTTACGCAGGGCCTTAGGAGATTTTCTCTAAAGATGACCACTTTCGAGTTGTATGCGGTTTGAAGTTTGAAAAAAAAAAACACTCTAAATTAATGCATAAAAACTCGGTTAATAACCCTCCTTCTATACTAAAGAAACTTTGCCCATAGCGAAAAAAATGTTTGCCTAAACAAAATCTGCAAACGAATTTGTATTGAGTTACCAGCAATCTCGTAATTGATGTTAAGAAGCATCAAACAAAATTGAGTGGAAAACTCACCCATGAATGCGAGTTTCAGATCATAAACACATCAAAGTAAAATAGTGAAGAAATGATTACAATTCCAAAAGTCGCCTAGTCACCCAGTCTTAAATTGATGTAAACTGATATTTATTTCTAAAAATTATATGTACGGTGCTTTTAAATCAGACGAAACTTCCTTATTCCACCAGTATTATTTTTGATGTTCTAAAGCCCCATTTATGAAATCGTAAAGGCATTTGGTAAATGAATTAGATTTTTATTCATGTCTTGTGATACAACTAGTCACTTATTAGTATTTAAAATTTTTAAGTATTTATTTATTATGATTAGTTTGGCCGCAGTGCTACAGGAATACATCCCAATCATTCTAAAAATACAAGGAAATTTTGCTCTTTATACAGGGTGTTCCACGTAGAACTTCGGCAATGAATTACTCAAAAAGTTGACGATAGGTAATTGTGAATTGGGATCATGCTGAAACTGATATAAGGGTAAGATGCTAAATACATTCCATGTACAGAGTGGGCCATTAAGTTGAGCGGATTTAAAAAAATTATGGAAAAAACTACAAAGCGTAGGGAAGCTCATTTATGTTTTTACTAAAGTAGACACATGGAAATTTTAATTTTTTAAAATAACATCATTGAGATGTGAGCCATCGAGACGTACGCACTCCTCGAATCTCGACTTCAAATTCGTGAAAACTCGCTATCACATCTCTCGTGGGATATCGGACAACTCTTTGGAAATGTTATGCTTGAGCTGAGCAATCGTCGGTTTAACCGCGGCTCTTGAGGTATCCTCGGAGAACAAAATCCAGTAGCGTGAGATCTGGGCTCTGGGGGAGGCCACGGAATGTCCCCTCGTCCCGATATCAGTTTTCCTCTAAACCTTTCGCTTCGACCCGTTTTAGACAATTTTCATAATTATTGTCTAAAATTAACTTTTCGAGGAATCGATCGCTCAACGTGTGACACCCTGTATAGCAAAGGGTCCTTATAATTTTACAACCCTGTTACTATAATAGAATATTCCAGTATTATTTTATTGAAACGTTCAAGGCGTATTTGTTTATTGATTTGTTCATCTTTGTGAACGTGAGGAAAAATCTGAATGAAGTTTACCATTGATTATTGTGATTTTTGAATATATTTATTGTTGATTAGTTGTTATAAAATCGAAATAAAAATCTTATGACTTAAATAATTTAAGCTTTCTCTTAAGAACAGTAAACATCAATAGGTTAGTGCAGTAATATGGTTGTGATTTAACTCCGATTCTGTCTGGTATTTATAGTTTGGCCAACAAAACATCGGGTCATATGCATCAAATTTTGATAAGGATGTTAGTTCTAGTTCCCTCAACTGCTGAGATTTTTGCAATGTTCAGTGGATGCAGAAAATTTTCACGATTGCAATACCGTCCTCGCATATAGCCTGAGAGAAAGTGTTTACACTCTCATGCTTTGATAATTCGACTAAATTGCCAATAACGTTTTGACATAGACTGATTCATGCATTGTCAGTTTATTGAAAAGTGAACGCCGCAAGTCCTGGTCTGACCAATATTGCGAAAAGATGAATGTTTACCTTGAGAATTGATACTTGCTTTTTTTATTCAGCCTATACTGAAGCTTGTTTACGTATTTCTTGATTAAGGTTTTATTTAAGGCATGAGTATTAACCCGGATTACTCTACAGCGACTATTTACTTGATTTTTTTATTGATGCATATGATCCACACAGATACGAGGCAGTCTTACATACAATTTTGTGCAGTCAATATACTAAGTTTATTTAGCATTTTGAGATTTAAAGACCAAATATAGAATGTTCTCTTCGATAGTTGAAATTATAGTTATTACACGTTGACAATATGAATAAATTTATTTAGTACCAAAAGTAGTTTTATTTCACGTGGAAAGAATACGTAAGATGTACTATGTACAGTGTTGGTACTACGAGGTGTGCGCTAATCCTTTTGCCCGTCTATATGCTACCTAAAAATCTCCATGTTTTTTGATGAATAGATTATCTTGTTTGGATTAGTTTATTGTATCTAAAATTACGTATTGGATTTGGCTTTGTTTAAAAACAAAGCGTCCTCCTCCTTGCTTGCATTGGGGATTACTGAACGGATTTCACCAGCCCAAGGTAGTCATTCAAAATGGTGGAGCTTGTGGTAGCTACCGATATGCAGCGCCATCTATTGGAGAGTAGCCGCTACCAAAAAAAAAGATCCTTCAGTTGGGCTACCATCCCATAGATGGCGCTTCTTGTAAAGTGCTATCACAGACTTCACAAAATTTAACTAGTCAAAAAGAACCTTTAGGGGCGGTTGGTCGGGGTTTGGGTGGCTTCCAACGAATCTTCAATGATCAAGAATCTTAAATTTCCGTGAGGGGGGTTAAAATCCCCCCATTTTTTGATGAAAAGATTATTTTGATTGGATTAGTCTTTTATATTCTAATATTACGTATTGGATTTGGCTTTGTTTAAAAACAAAGCGTCCTCCTCCTTGCTTGCATTGGGGGTTACTGAACGGATTTCACCAGCCCAAGGTAGTCATTCAAAATGGTGGACCCTGTGGTAGCTACCGATATGCAGCGCCATCTATTGGAGAGTAGCCGCTACCAAATAAAAAGATCCTTCAGTTGGGCTACCATCCCATAGATGGCGCTTCTTGTAAAGTGCTATCACAGACTTCACAAAATTTAACTAGTCAAAAAGAACCTTTAGGGGCGGTTGGTCGGGGTTTGGGTGGCTTCCAACGAATCTTCAATGATCAAGAATCTTAAATTTCCGTGAGGGGGGTTAAAATCCCCCCATTTTTTGATGAAAAGATTATTTTGATTGGATTAGTCTTTTATATTCTAATATTACGTATTGGATTTGGCTTTGTTTAAAAACAAAGCGTCCTCCTCCTTGCTTGCATTGGGGATTACTGAACGGATTTCACCAGCCCAAGGTAGTCATTCAAAATGGTGGACCCTGTGGTAGCTACCGATATGCAGCGCCATCTATTGGAGAGTAGCCGCCACCAAAAAAAAATGTTCAGTTGGGCTACCATCCCATAGATGGCGCTTCTTTGTAAAGTTTGTTTGGATTAGTTTATTATATCTAATATTACGTATTGATTATGGCTTTGTTGAAAAACAAAGCGTCCTCCTCCTTGCTTGCATTGGGGTTCACTGAACGGATTTTGGCAGCCCAAGGTAGTCATTCAAAACGGTGGACCTTCTGGTGGCTACCGATATGCAGCGCCATCTATTGGAGAGTAGCAGAATAAAAAATATATTCATCCACCCTTAAATGATTTTAAGCTAATTCTGTGCATTTTCAACTATATAATGTTACAAACTATATGTTGTACTTGATTCGCGGCAGGAGCTTCCAATGTCGATTTTTAGGATCATCAAATAAAACCAAATAGTAATAGACTTTCATTTAATAATAATTTAGTGTAACTTACATTAACAACTCGTGAGATGAGATAACATTATAACCAAAGTGCCAGACTTACATGTTCCATATATGCTATGCTGATCAAAAATATTCATATACATCACATGAACGAAATACTGTTAGTCCATTTAAAATCAATGACTAATATGTAGACTAAACACATGACTAAGGTGAATGGACAGTCCAGCATTTCATTCGAATACATACATGCCAATCATGTTGATATACCATATCTAGGAGTTTTGGCTATTCAAAAACAAAAAAACAATCATTATCAAAAAATTACACAAACTTTGAAACAACAGTAATGAAAGCCTGGAGAAGAATAATAAAATTGTGGAACAAAATCTTATATACTTCGCAACTGAAAAGGAAAATTTATTTCTCCAATATATCAGTTAAAAAAATGCATTGAACACTACAGGATTTTCAAAGCTGCCCTTATTGCAGTTCTGTGATAAAATGTAAACTCTTTTCTATCAACAAGAAATGTGTTCAAGAGCGTTTTGAATAGCCACTCTCCTTTTCATGTTTCGGCCTAAAATATGTCATATAAGGCCATTTTATTTATTTTTGTATATCACAACTATTTTATACACTTCACATGACGATATCAAGTTACCATATTTGAGGCCAATTTTAAGTACAAGCTGTTTCATAATTTTGAAAGGCAGGGGAAAAATCAAAAATAGTAGCTGTAACTATTTTTGAGATCATATGTGTGTTAGCAGGGAAAAAATGGTTAAAGTAATTGACAGTATACAGTAGTCAGTATGCATAAAAATATATATATATATATACACGACCTATTATAACTCGATGTAACAAAATAACATACCGGGGGTTTCAAATTGGATCGTCACAATTGGAATCTCGGTAACGGTAATAGAGAGTACAAAGTGGCTCAAATAGAGCCAAAGCTGGGTATTTAGGTAACTAACTAACCAAAGTTTTGAAAGTCAAAGTTCTCCGGGAAAAAGGCGGAAAAACCGTATTTTCTAAAAATTGTTTTATTTTTTCCCTGACTTTATTTTTAGTGGAATAGCACACTAACATTGCGACTTTTTGTCCTCCACAAGATGGAATAATTAGATTTCAATGTTACGTCTCTTATCTTTCAGCATCAACTTCATTTTTTCTAATGGACGCTATATTGGACTTTTGCATAGATGAATAGAGTTTTTAATTCTGATTTCAAAAATATAATTATAATATGGACATTGCCAAATCTGATTTATTTAAAAATAGGTAGGCCTTGAAATTATGAGATTCATGAGAGTCATTTTTTTCGTATACCGTATTTATTGAAAAGAAATAAGCATATATAAAACGAATTGAATATTAGCATTACCACCCTTTTCCCTCTAAAATATAATGTAGTCAAATTCTCTATCAGACGTTTCTGCTTTCAAACTCCACCCTTATCTTTGTTTTTCCTTATGAACTCCCTATTGAAATTTTGCGCAATAGAACACAAGTTTTAATTCTCCATTTAGTTATGAATATACGATAAACTTCACATATTTAATTGAATTTTAAATGAATTAATATTATTGTTACTAGTATTCACATGTACAATATTCCAATATATTGTCCATATGAAAAATATAATCAAAAATAAGTTCGAAACCTCGAATTGGAAATTTGAACACGCCATCTTTTAGAGGAGAAAAAGTGGCAGCGATAAGACGCAATTTATTTCGAGATCGCATCTCGAATCAAGTCAGCAACAAATAAAAATAATTGTTTGATAAATCTGGTATATGAAACAAATGACGCTGATAATTTTAGGACCTTCCTAGGAAATTCTGTGTTGTCAGGAGAAACTAAAATCATTTTAGAAAAATTTGGCTTTTTCCGGAAGTACTTTGGATTTTTTAACTTTCTAAGCGGGATTTTGTACGTCACATAAAAGAGGAATATTCACAGACAATTTCAGAGCTGTACTTATATTTGTTATCAAGTAGCGATTTAAGAAAAAACGCACAAAAATGCATTCTTTGACAAAAACATGAAAACATTGTCTATACACACCATGGAATTATCAGATGAAAAGGATTTAGAATACTGCTGCGAGCAGGAAGTTGAAAAGGAATCTAAAAAGGGACGTCCCATCTAAATACGCAACTTTTTCCTCATTTAAGCGACTTCGTATGAGGTACCAAAGGTGATGGTCGAATTTAAAACACCCGGTATATGGATATAGCTACTCAATCACTGTGGATTTTAGAAATCAACACTTAGATAATGTATTTACACCAAAAAGTCATGTAAAAATTTCTATATTCTGTTATGGCAACAGTGTTTCTCGTAAGTTATGAAAGTAGAGGTAGTGCCAATAAAAGGTAGATCATTTTCGACGTCCATTCTCCTAAAATGATATGTAGGGAAAAGTTGAAATGTACCTCTTTGGATATACGGGAAATGTAAAACGTTTCCGTACAAAAGACTGCACCGAAGTTGATAAATGTCATCAATGCATTCATGTTACCAGTCAAACACAAAATGATTAATGTTTTTGAAATCTTACAATGTATTTTCCATGTTCTACCTTCATAACTACGAGTCAACCTGTAACACCCACCGATTATTGAATACTGCAAGCAAAGAATCAAAATTGAACAAAAACAGATGATAAATCTAATATCTGGCATTATTTTGGTTTTGGTTAAATTGGGACTGAACTGCCTCGGTAGCTATGTTAGTTGCGGCATTTCTTACATACTGATTACCGAGGACCTGCGTTGTGAATTCTTGCTGGGCCTTGGCTAAACTTGCTCCAGTACTTCGGTACATGCGATGAATCTAGAAAAAAAAAACAGAAACTATGGCACCTTTGTCCTTTTTTGCTGACCTCAGGCACCAATATTACAATTAACCATCCAACCAACATTAAAATTTGATGTCGACTCTGCTAGACGTTCAAATGAAAATTGCAATGTCTCACCAGTCTGCTTCATACTGGGTGATTCTCCAAGCGGGCTCACCAATATATTTTTTTTAATATTGAAGATAGAAAAACAAAATTTCGGGGTTGCGTATTATAGATGAATTTACTTTTTTAACATATTCTCTTGCTTTGACGTACTTCCGGATTTACCGGAAACGACTACAACTTTAGATTTTTAAATGGGAGACCCTATATATTTTTACTTATTTCGATCGAGAATAGAAAATTTTTCTAATTGGGCAATTTGTAAACTCTCAAAGACAGGGTTTACTTGAACGAAAGTTCTTACGAGAAATTTTTATGTCACGAGCTAGTCAAATTTTACTTAGACTAGACAAATTATATATTATCATTAAATTTACCTTTGATATGAGGATTAAATCGGCTGTAGCAGCAAAACCAAAACCACAAGCTATTATCAAAGCAATGATCCCAGAAATAATGCTCCATGCTGAATTTTTAAAGGTACTTAGGGCTGTTATGATTCCTCTGAAAAGAAAGTAGAATACTATAGTAATGAAGAACATAGAAAACATTGTATTCGACAAACATGATAAACAATATTGCTACCACTTCAGCATAGATCTTTTTATACCTGCACAAAGTTGTATAATAAACTACCTACTCATTTGAAAGCGATAGCATGTATGGAAACCTTCAGAAAAAAAAACTAAACAAAGTTTTAGCTCAGCTGAAACCATACATGAATGCTTCATTTTAGTTTTTGCTTGAGTGTGACGTTAGTTCCACATCTATGCAATTTGTACATATTATGTATTTGTGAATCTAGATTATCATTATTATCAAAAGAAAGAAATCTAGACCCGAATCCAAAAAGTGATTTTAGCAGATTACCCTAAGATTTGGATCTCGTGATTATTGAACTGAATGTGAATAAATCCTTCAAAAGCATATTTATACTTACATAGTCCCTGATCCAGGAATTCCTATGGTCTGGATAACAGTTATTACAAATTGGATGAAAAATATGAAAAAGAACACCATAAAGTTGAATGAAGAGTCTGAACGGAATGCTTTGTAAGCTGGTCTGAACCAGCACAAGTATCCAAATGGAGTGAATAGTAGCAGATACATAATTCCCAGTCCTATCACGGTGAAGTCCTTCAAAATCATTCCACCAATTACGTTTAGTATCATTAATATGCCATGAACTGCAAAAAAATGTTTGAAGATTAGCTGAATCCAATGCTACAAAAAATTATCATCAACCTCTCGTAATCAAGTAAAAATCTCAAGCTTTAATATTTAGGCTCTGAACATAAGAATCACCTGGTAATATCCAATTAATGAACAATTCTGTAAAGAACAACACAGCTTCAGATTTCGTTAAGCAACCGAGTCTGCATTCTTAAATACGCTCAACTTTGTTCATGGACAATTAGATTCAAATATGAGGGTACCAACACTCTTTTTCCACTTAACAAAAGCCTTTGGTACAGTTGACCCTGCTTATCTGGTAAATGAGGCGCTCAAATTCCTTCTAATATATGTATAGTGCTATGGCTAAAATCCTACTAGACTAAGTATACCGAAGTAATAGCCCAAAAAGGATGGGGAACAATTCTCTGAACATTCTTGCTGAACTCGATTCGATACAATACGCGTGTCGCCGACAAGATGCTGAGATAGATCTTACATTCTTCCTAAATTATTTTGTATTGCATACTGCATAATCAACGTGTTCAATTGTTGAGAATAGAAACTGTGAGACTAGACGATATTCGTACAATTTTTAGCTTCTTATTCACACCGTAGGTGGTAGACGGTCTCTCACTGCCGTACGCAGAGGTATGCATGCTGCATACACACGTGTTCCCTCGCTAGAGTCCGTGTGGCGCCCCCCCCTTTCCGCTGTATGTATCCCTATAGCCCCACGGAACCCCATGGGTGTTTAGGCCTTAGGTCTTCGTGGTAGCTGGAGTATAAAAAAAAAACTTGAAATGCAGAAAGAAAAAAGACATTACTTACATATCCAAAGATAATATAAATGTCTAACGATTTTTTGAAATTCTAGTGGTATATCCACATTTATATCTTGATAGAAGCATGGTTGGAAACAACATTGTTCAGGCAACGGAGGCCAATTGTTCCGCCTAACATTGTAAGTGGACTGTCTCATTTCCTCTTCTCTACGCGCAAGCTCCTGTTCTTTCCTTTCCAATTCTTCTTGCCTCCGCTGAAAATATTCCATCTTCAGTACTATCATTTATCAACATATTGAAAATGCATACTTACATCTTGAGAATAAAATACAAAAACTGGATAAAATTTGTCTGGATTATAGTGTGAAATGTAATGCACATTACCTGTAATTCTTCTGTATTTAAAGTTGCTTTAGGAATGTTTTGGGTTTGTTGGCCACTTTTGGTGTATGTAGGGGGCTCTTGGGTCGGTTGCATTATCGCAGGGCCAGTGTTAGGTTGCTCATACGTTACCTGGAAAAAATCCACGAATTGGTAAAAAATGACATGAATTTTGCTATTTCTATAAATGCCTCAAAAATGCAAAGTGTCTTGGCATATCAGAGAGCCACATCTTCATTTCCCCCATATCTATCTCTGCAGTTCCCTTGTATTTTTACATACAGGTACCAGCCATGCGAAATAAAAAACTTTTTATTTATTGGTAGTATAAGAATCCTAGGCATGCGGATCTCAATACCTGTGGGAGATACAGCTTAGGTCGAATTAGGAAAAAGTTGCGTTCTTTGAAGCGTATTTACATGCGGTTGAGAAACTTGTAAAAATTTCATGGCTTACTGAGATATTTGTGAAAAACTAAAATTTGGACGATTCATTTTGCATCCTCTGACATTATTTTAATATCAAACAAATATGGAACTTTGCCATTGACACTTTTTAGGCACCACATGATGGTGTTTTTAAATGTTGTGCCTGTCGGTTTGCGAAACCATCATCACTTTATTTTTTATACGATCACATGTTACATTTATTTTCTTCTTAGTTATAAGAAAGAATGAGTTTTCCCGGATTTTTTAATTTTTTTAAGTAGGTGTTGCAGACAAAAGTTTGACTGGTCACCAAGTGTTTTTATTATCGTGTATTGTTAATATTGCTTTATTATCGTCAAAGATGCCAGGCGGCCATTTCACCAATGAAAAAAAGTTCGACATGCTGATGTGCTACATTTTGTGCTACAAAAATACTGCAGAAATGTATTTTGAGAAATTTCCCGAAAGAGGGCAGCCATAAGTCCATTTTCGTTGCGTTTCGAAAAAAAGGGATCTTTAGAGGAAACTCAGAATACAGTTTTACAAGCAATTGATGAGAATTCTGAGTTATCAACTAGACAAATTGAGAAAAAGGTAGGAATCCCCTCTTCCATGCACTTTTACATGTGAATTAATAAGATAAAGATAGTTGTTTGCTGATCTGTGAATTCACATGCAATGTTCTTTTTTAATTCAGGATTCAAAATATTGTTTCTGTCCTACTTCAACATACAAAATTTAACACAAGTTCAATCCATCTTTCAATGTTCAAGTGCATCACATAACGATGGAGAAGTTTCAGATTTAATGAATTAAGAATATGTTTAGTTTTAACTTTAAATCTGCAATTTATCTATTGTTTTCATGGATATTGCGGTTTCCAGTAGCCCTAGTGTGCAATTTACGAACAATTTTAAGTAACTAAGAAACTTTTATCAGATATAAGCTTGAAAAAGTCAAATCAAAAAATTTTAATATATACAGGAAGTTCCATTTTTCAGCGAGAACATTACACCTTGACCAATTGAAAATTTTAAAAAAATGTTTGAATTAGGTTGACATTGAGAGTAATAAAAATTTTTGGCACAAAATTCTCTAATCCACCTGTCAAGATAGCAAATATGCAGATGGTTTTCCCACGGCTACTGCCCAGTAAGTATTGTAATCGCGAAAAAAAATCGAAAATGAGATACTGTTTTTTGGATGTTACATCACATGAAAAACCACTTTTGTAGGGGTTAAATTTTGGGGGTTCAAAATTAGTGTTAATATATTTCCAACTGAAGTAATTCTACACACCCATAGTACATATTTCAGTACATGTTTCACACATTGATTTTTGCAATGGCAGGGAAGAGAATTATAGCAATATCAAATAGGTGAAGCTATTGACAAGTTGTATGAGCCTGTTTGGCTGACATGATCCATTTCATTTTTTTTTTTATACATGGTGGTGCCTAACTTTTAGCCCACAGGGGTTAATTTGCACCAAACAATCCTTTATGAGTCAACCTACTTGTCACCATTTTTGATATAAAATACCCCCTCAACAACAAATAATCAAAACCCATCAATATTTTTTTATGGAACTTCTTTAGAAAAGGCATATCCAAACATGTAATGAAAATTAAGGCACTCTATTTATAAGAAATCAACCCCAATACCATACCCAAATACTGGACAAAAGTATATAGACAAATATGACTATTTACCTAAATACCTTTAGAAAACGAATTCATACTTCATTGCTCCATAAACAAATGCGTTATTAGTAGAAAAACTAAATTCCTTGTTTTTACATTATCTCCAATGAGCACAATACAAGTCTGAATATAAGCACTTTTTCATGAGGGACAAAAATATGTAGACAAATTCTTTTCAACATTAGTTTAATACAGGTTCGTGTCAGAAGAGGATTAGTTTGTGTTTATCAAGTATTGTGGAATAAGTTTTAAAACCAAATTTTAAGACCATGCTGCGTGGTCCAGAAATTCCTTTAGATGTGAAAACTAAGATCATTGAGTTTTACAAAGAACGTCGATTTGACATTGCCAAAAATTTGAAGCGTAAAGCAGTTTGGGCAATATTGAACAAATATAAACAAAAAGGTATCGTGGAAGCCTCTAAGAGAAGTGGTCGGCCTAGAAAACTAACTGTTAGATCAGTTAGATTAATAAAAGTAATTTCGTACAAAGATCCGTTTAAAACCCCAAGACAAATAAGGCCGAAATTGAGACAAAAGGAATTGTCAGTGTTTCTACGAAAACTATAAGTAGAAGATTAAATGATTTGAAATTATTTGCACGTCGCCCGAGTAAGAAGCCGCTAATCTCGAGGAAAAACCGTAAAGACTGATTACAATTTGCACGGTTGCATCTGTGACTGGAAGAAGATATGTTTCAGTGACGAATCCAAGTTCAATATGTTTGGATCAGATGGTGTTCATTACGTTAGACGTCCTAGTGGACAAAGATTGAACCCCAAGTATACTTTGCCCATTGTCAAACATGGAGGCGGGTCTGTTATGGTTTGGGGTGCTTTTCGGAGTTTGGAACGAGATTACATAGAATAGATGGCATTATGGATAAGTTTGTATACACAGACATACTAAAGCATGTCATGTTTACAGTATATGGAAGACAATATGCCCTTAAGATCAATCTTCCAGCAAGATAATGACACACACTTCAAATCTCCAAAAGAAATTCTTTCTAGATGAAAAAATACCAGTTCTCAAATGGCCTTCACAGTCTCCTGATATAAACACCATTGAAAATCTATGGGAATACATAGATAAGCTAATACCAGATAAAAATTATTCAAACAAGGATGAACTTTTTGCTGCTTTAGAGCAAAAGTGGAGACAGATTGATGAATCTTATATCAAGAAGCTTCTACAATCTATGCCGAGAAGATGCCAGGCGGTGGTTGATAATAATGGTTATGTTACAAAATATTAACACAAACATGGTTGATTTTCTTTAATTCAATGAACTTTACTTCTTTTTTCTATAATTGTTTTGCTTTGTCTATATATTTTTGTCCTTCATAGTTCCAGTTTTTTCAATTAATTTTTTATTGAAGGGAATCTAATGAATTTATTTATGTATAAGTGAGTATTATTCTATAATGAATTATATATACAGGTTGGTGTATTAATAAAACAAGTTAAAAAAGAAATACAGCACAATATTAATTTGTCTATATACTTTTACTGTATGTTTAATAACTCATAGATAGTACTTTTTGAAAAGTTTTTATTTTTGTATAGCTATGCTAATATCAATAAATGGCTTCTGTGAAAAAATCAATGCTGGCTTGCATGAATAGAAAATTTATTGGATAACAAACAAAAAATATAATTATAAAAGTTAATTCAAATCCAAGAAATAAAATATTTTATTATTTGTGGCACTTCTTAAAATTGCTGTTGCAGTCAACATGGTAAGAGCAATACTCTGACCTCACATGGTTGGGACACCTTGTAGTTAAGGTTTGCATCATAACATGACAGTATAAAGATTTCTAGGAGGTGGTTACTAAATAACATAGCATATTATCAATTCAAGCGAACAGACAAGTATACAATGGGATCATTTGTGTATAGTAGTGATAAAAAATATGCTTATCTCAGCTTTATTCACTTAACAATAAAATTGATATGTATATGGTGAATCATCAATTTAAATAATCAATAACTGTCAATTTAGATAGTATGCAGTCAAAATTAGTTGAAACCCTCTAAATCATATAAGCCATCAAAGAATGGAAAAATAATGTTTTTTGGATACATGACTTCAATTTAAAACAAAAAATGATACAAGTACATAACTACAGTACTGTATTAGACAGCTACGGCTGCACACCTTCGGTGAATTTATGGATTACAGTGCTATGCATGACTCAATGAAAGCACAATCTAGAAGACTAGATTTTTATCACTTCCTGATATCTTTTGAATGGTGATATCTTATGCTAGTACCAAGTTTCTCAAGGATAGTCATTATTAGGTACCTGTGACATTCATATTTGATGATCATGACATTATATACAATTTAGTATATGTACCAGATTGATTTATTTGATATGGGGTGGCGAATATAACAACTCGCTAACCTGATCTAGGATAGGGTTGTTGTGCAAGACATATTACATTTATACTTATATTTATAGATGTCCACTGGAAAAACATGGCATTTGCAAAAGAAAATTGACGATCTCTTACCGGTTTTTGAGTTTGTGCATTGGGGAAAGGATTATAGTCATCAACCCTAATTTGGGCATTGCTAGATCTGGCAGCTTGTTGTATAGACGGGTCCTACAAAATATGAATATTCCAGTTATTGTTTATCAATTATAAAGGATACAGAAATTGATAAGCATTATTGTTGAAGAACTAAATACATCTGCGTATATTTGACATTTAAAAATAAATGATCAATTACTCACTGCGAAGGGATTATCTATAGTTGGTTCCCCAAAAGGGTTGTCATCGAAGCCAGACATTCTGCAGCGTTATTTGAATAATCTCAACACATATACGCAAAATGAAAATAATTTAGAAATTCATTATCTCTCTTGACACCATCACTTGCACTCGAATTTTTTAGCAGTGTCGTCTTCTGTCACTGTCATGTGTCAATATTCAATAATCACCAATTGACAACTTTAGGCGTATCCTTTAATCCACCGGTTGATTCCATCACTGCTGGATTCGGTGAACTTTTATGTGATGACGTCAGCAACCGGTTCCATTGAATGGTGGTCAATAAAAAGACGCATTTAGCCTTCAGGTTCCTATCATATAACTTTGTTTTATCATGCTTGGATGTTTGTTGATTTGAACTTAGTATCCCCTAGTTTGTAAAATATTTACTTATTTTCGTAAAATGCACATTTGTTTTTGGAGTTATTTGCTGCCACACATATATAGAGAAATAGAATACACAACACGCATAAGCACATAATATGTACCCTAAGGAATATCTTTACTACAAATTCAATGCAGTAGTCTTGGTAAATGAAAAAAAAATAAAACATTCACGATATATCTTTATTAAAATAAACATATATATATATAACAAATATACTCTACCTCTACTAAGCTGTACAAGACTATGTAGCAACGAAATTTGCCCAGAAATCTTTACACAACATAAAAAGATGCAAACAAAAATTGACGCCCTGACGTACGAAATGCTATCGGTACCCTGGGATAGACATACGTTTTGGCAGCTGACCCTGTTATCCTTGTCAGCTGGATTGCGGTGTTGCCAGCTCATCAGAACACCGAAATCCAAGTGACAAGAATGACAAGGTCAACTTTCAAAACGTATGTCTATCCCGGAGTAACGACGGAGTCATTTAGAACGTCAAAGCGGCAGTTTTCCAATCTTCATTTGCATATTTTAAGAGTTGTGCAACAATTACGAGAAAAATTTAGCTACGGATAGTGTTCTAAAGTTTAGTAGAGTATATTTCAATAGTTGTCTTGCGTGGTCATGTTATTTTTACTTGGGCCAACAAAACTGCGTTGTTAAAAATGATTAAATGCAGAGGCTAGAATATCCTGTCCATTCTGAAAAGGTTCTGAATCAACCGTTCCGAACGTGGTGGATGCTATCGGCACCGGTGGCCTATCCACCATCAATATAAACACAAGTTTGGTGTACAACCGATTGTTCCAGTGGGAATTAAAGGACGTAAAATTGAATAACCGGTTGGACCGATGGCTCAAATACGCCTTTTGTTCTCGGATCAACTAGTGACACTGTTATGTGGTGAGAAGGAAACAAGGAAATGCTCATCTAACAACATGACCACTAAACGCTTTGTTGGTTGGTCAACTTAACAAAAATGGCGTCTTTTTCAGATCCCTCACTGTTGGAGAGGAAAACAGGCGTGGTTAACGTTTAACGTTCTATGATCAACATGGGAAGATTTTATGTCAGCAATTGAGCATATGTCATCTGTCACAGATTTTTACAAACAAAATAAATACGCATTTTTTCACATTCTCGATATTTGGACAATATTTGATTTTCCATAGCTGTCTGTGACCCATTGAGCTTTGCAAATTATCTCAACGACTACATCTTCAATTTTCAGTGTGCTTCTCATACTGACAGTTGATAACTAAACGGCCTTCTCCATTTTTGTATCGAAGGTTTTGTTTGAAAGGTGCATATTACAGCTACAATCCACTGAAAAAAAGACATACAAGAAGGCACACATTGGATACGCAGTGGACAAAATCAGGTGCTCAAAAGAAAGGAAAACAGAAAAGGAAACAAAGATGTCCAGGTGACAACAAAGGAAAGAAAGAGAAATCAATAATGCCGAAAAAACCTATGATAGCAAAGATATGCCCCTCTTGCAAACAACAGGTTAGTAAATTAGGTTCATTAGAACTGCTCAAATGCAGTCTTACCATGTATGTCACTTTGATAACTCAAAAAGTAATGCAGTGATAACATTGTTGTGTCGAACTATCCTCATAAATTGAGTATCGTTATAACAATACTTTTAGATTAACGCATACAAACTGATTGTTAAAACTTGATACTTTATCAGTATTTTGTACGGCTTTGAATGTTATGAAATACACCTTAATCCATATATGCAAATGTCCATCCAGTCTGTTTAGTATCACGTCTCAACCACAACATAGAGAGATGTCAAAATTTGTATACTTATTAATTGATATCCAAGGAAGGTTATAGGCATGTGTGAAACTCATAGTCGATTTTTACAATTGACTGTTGTGCAAGTATCAAAATCTCCACCATCAGTGTGAAGCCTGCAACTTCACAGCCTCTGTCATCACCTCAATCAATCTGTGACCATCAAGCCATACAGACAATTTATTTTTCACTAGCTGTTACACATGATTTCATGCAATTTGAATTGTTAATAATGTAGAAGTAAAGATATATAAATATCAATATCAATTAATAATGGAATCGCAAAAGGGGGCAGGGAGGGGGGCCTATATTAAAAATCCTCCCTACAGCCTTGCATGGAATGCTATTCATATCTCCCACTTGGGGTAGACGATCTTGTGACTGAGTGACCTGTGAGGTCATACAGAGTTGAGCAGTTCACAAAAATGTTCTATATTTACCTATTCCTAGTATCTGGTCTTGCATTTTGTCTGATAAAATTTACAAACTGAATGGACATATTTAATGTGATCACTGCACCATGTTTTTTGAGTTTGTCCACGAATATCAACAAGTACATAGATTTTACTTGATTTCATTAGGTTCCTGTGGCTTGTAAGTCATGTCCATGTGGCCACTTTTTCTACAATGCAAGACGAATTGCAAGGGAATTTGCATTAGAAGCTGATTTCAGGAGAAGGACGGCTAGAGTCAGGCGAGAAAAACCCAACTATTATGATGCTTTAGAATATGATAAGCACATCAAAAAAGTAAGAGCGGTATGTTGAAATTTTTTAGTTTTCCTTGCCCTGTGTCCACTACTGTATCTGTATGTTTTGAGTATGTCTAAGCTTGTTACTTTTGAACACTTTTGAATGTCTGCAAGACTGCTTTAATACTCAACCTTCAGTGTTGCTGCTCTTGAACTGTATTAGTGGGGATAAGCACCCACTATGGCTCCCCCCATTTTGTATTCCCCAATTCCTACTGTGTAAAGTCACTTTTTGAAAAAACCATTGTCTTCATATTCAAGATTCTGAAATGACTGTCTTTAGGCGAGGTTTTCAAGAATTGGTAAACATATTTTAAATTTGTTTTTTTTTTTAAATAATTTATATCTCTTCTATACTTAATATTGATTGTAATACTAGCATTTTCTAAGATAAAATTTAAGTAACTTTCATATATTCTGTGTGGTTTTTGACAAATTATGACAGATATTGAATAATAGGGCATTGTTTATCACATAATGTAATTTCACAGGAGTTCATTACTTGTTTCCTTCTTGGGTCGTATTTCAGAAAAAATCATCCTTACTCCATAAAATGGCATTTCATTCTCATACACTGAAAATTTTGCTGACACCTCCTCATAAAAACATAAGAGACTTTACTACTTTAAAAGTGACAATTCAATATCTGTAGAACAGAAACAGCCTGTGCCCTATTTCCAATATTGTTTCTGTTTTCAAGTTACGTTATAACTAGGTATCCATATCCAACCTTTTCAGAAAAAAAAAGAAACCGTCAGGCTTTAACAAATGATTCAATCCGCCCATCATTAAGAAAGTTCTTGTTCATTTTCTTTTTTTTACTTGGCAGTTGAAAAAGCGCGTGAGTGAATGCGAAGTCGATGATGAGGAGGATGAAAAAAGAGGCAGTGGTAAAAACAAGAAAAAGAAGGCGAAAAAGAGAACGGAAGAAGAGGAAGAAGAAGAGGATGTCATGTCCAGGTATACCGCCGAAATGCAAGTCCATTGTCAAATGGTGTTAGATCAATTAAATGCAAAGATGCAGCTAGTTACATGGAAGCCAACATAACCATTTTATGTCCTGTATATGTGTGCGTGTGTGTGTATTTTTTAATTTTGCTTGACTCTGTAAATAAGTACATTTTGTTTAATACATGTGAATAATAGGAATCATTGTGTTTCATTACAGTTTCCCATATTATGTCTCCAAGAAATTGCATGTGTAACACTGAAGTGAAATTGCAGATTTATTTTTTCGCAAATCGTCGGACTTGCAAAACACTTAACGATACGATACAAACTGTGGATCTATCAGCTTTCCAGTCAAATATTCCAAAAACTGAATAACTCAATTATTAGTTTTCCAGTAACGTTTCAATGCGTCTCTAATTTCATGCGGTCAGTTTTTTGAACATTTCTATATGAAACTTCATAGGAAAATTAAAATAGTATATAGGAAAATATCTTGTTATTCTTAAAAGTCTATGTACATGTCATACAATTTCACGCATTTCTATGCATAGTGATCCAGCGCAAGCTACTCAATCGTTTTAAATCATTTCTAAACTGAACTATTTTCCAATGTCTCTACAACACATATTATTAAGTCATTCATGAGCACACAACACAATTCACGGTGGCATTCCTAGTAAAAAATAATGGTTTATTTTGCCTGCTATATTTATGCAGATAGCACTTTCAAATCATACTTGTGTATTATGATAGACATTAAACCATGCATTAAGATAAAACCATTGATTGAATGCTTTTATAGTGACATTAAAAATCTTTTATATCTACTTTTCACCACATTGGTGTAGAGTCCATATTAGACCCAACTTCGAATACGGCCATCACGTCTAGGGAGCAGCTTTGTCATCATTTCACAAATAGGATTGCTTAACAACGACCATGATTTTTTTTAACTACTCGGTCCTTGAACAATTAATACAGGGTGTCCAAGAATAACATGTCGTTCGTATGAATATATAACACAAAAAATAATGACACATGTTCCCACACAAAAATGTGCTATGGGAGTGTCCTAAGGACGTACAGGAAACTCCTGGAAATAACTTTTGAATGACATTGTAGAACTCAGCGAATTTTTGGCAGCCCAGTAACGAGTTGGGAATGTATATGGTTATATACGTGGTTTGACATCGATAAAATGGACCGTATTTCGTCGCTTCAGAGCAGAAGTAGCTTAACTGCAAAAATCGAATTTTACAGGAGAGAGTTTTTTTCACTCCACATTCAGGTTTTTGACACAATCGTTGTACAAATTATATTATTGGCACTCAGGGTCATGCTTTTTTTTAAAGTTTAGTCAAACAGAATGAATTTTGCATATTTTGGAAAAATCTGGATATAGCATAGTTTATATTATTGGACGTGTGAGTTAGGATAGTTCTACGAGAAGATACGATATGCAGGGATAATCGATAAGCTACATAGGATAGTTCTGTAGTGCTATTTTTTTTTAAGTAAAACCAAAACACATTTTTGTCAAATTATTTATTTTAATTTTACTGGGGGGTAATGAAAAGGAAATATTTCACAAAAAATACATTAAATAAATAACGACACAAACAAGTGATTGAACTTATACATAATACATGTATAGATAATAAAATCATAAAAATAAAAACATTCTTTTAAGGTGTGTTATTTAAAACTAAAATTAGGTAGTTTGAAAACAAAAGAAAGGCAAACTTTGTCAAAAAGCAGGCAAACAACCGAACAATTAATTCAAATCAGAATCCGAATCTATATTTTCTTGTGCAGCATAAGGAAGGTTCTTAAAGAATAATTCGTGATATTGTGGCAATATGGCTTTTTTCTGACATAAAAACTGCAAATGATCAAATTTTTTCTTTGATAGCGGAAGCTTTCTTAAATAGCACTTCTTTAACTCGGTATTTTTTATATCTACATTATCTTTTTTGCGTCGGCCTTTTTCAACCAGATTAATAATTTTGAAAGGTTCCGATTCATCGTAGCTGTATTTAAAAAATATTTTATTCGGAAACTGGACGTTAGAAACAACAATTCGAAATTTATTAAGATGAATCTTTTCATTTGTTTCGTCTTTCTCCCAGTTAATAGTAGTCGATTGTTGCAAAAGCTTCAAATCGAATACGTCATTCTGAGAAATTTCTCCAACTTCGTAAGGTTGACGTCTCTTCGCAGTTCGCACTAACGTGTACCATTGTTCAGGGGTATAAATAGGGATATGTCTAGCAGCTTTTTCAATAACACTGTGCATTGAGTCGCCTTCTGTTTGTGTATGTCCTCGTTCCATAAACTGATGGCGAATAGTAATTTGGTATTTCTGTGTAAGGTAGTTATATAAACTGAACAAATATTTATTTCTATTTTGCCCTGAGCAATTGTCAGAGAAAAATGAAAATTCTTTCACTCCTTTTTGAACATGCTCTTTAACAAAAAGAATGAGGCAACTTCCAATTTCGCATGAACCTCTTTTCGCTATGCATTCATACCACATGAAACACACTCCGTTATTATTAGCTAAGTTGTAAATTGAAAAGTTATAGGTTTGAAGTTTCAACTTGTAATATGCCAATCCAAAATCAGATTTAGGTACAGGAAGAGCTTTCTGGAGGTCAAATGCTGCTGCTACGAAACTCGAACTTTCAGTAGCTTTTTTCTTATCCCTATCTTTAGATTCTCTTGCTTTTAACCTATTTTCTCTATGTAACCGGTATTCTTCTTCAATTTTCAGTTTTTCTTCTTCCGATGAGTTCTCATATGCATGGCAAATGTCGCAAAGATCTTTTTAGGCTTAAAAAAGGATATATTGAATTCCTCTACAAAAATAGTGCGATACATACTTTCTGTGGCGGTATCTTTGATGTTGTTATCATTACAATATTCCTCATATAAAACATACATCTTGGATATGTTAAGAGTTGGTGGTAGATAAAGACGGGAGGAGTTTATTCTACAGTAATGGCTTTCGATAAAATCGAATGAATTGATATGATTCCTTACTGTTTGCTTCACAGTATCATCAATTTGGGAGTTTTTGCAAACTTTTCCCCTTTTGTCGGCACTAATAACGCCTGTAGATCCCAATTTTTTGATCACGGTCTTCACCACTTGAGCACTTATACAAAGTGTGTTTAGAAAGAAAATTTGACAAACGGAAATTCTTTGAAGATTTCTTCTCGTTCGGTATGACCGATTCTCTCTACACATTTCTTTTTGCAATTTTTACATGGATCTTTCAACTTTCTTGCACTGTGAGTATTTCCTTTCCAGTCTAGGTATTCTTTGCCTGAATTTCTTGCCAATTTTATTTCATTCCTTTTCCATGTAGTCACATTTCTTGTTCTTTTCCTCGTTTTTTCTTTCTGTGTAAATCGTTTAATGCATTTCCGTTTCTGTTTTCTAATTGGTAGATTTTGTACACTATCGTCTTCGATTTCAGAATCTTCTTCGTAATCTGAGTCTTCATCCGTCTCAAATGGATCATTTTCAGATGACGAAAGGTAAATATCCTCTTCTACATTATTTTTATCATAAGTGTTCATTTGGTTGCTAGAGGTACCATAAAAAGAACAAGATGGTTGATTGTCTACTTCATCCAGTCCAGATAGCGAAGCCAACATGTTTTTATTGGGTGTATCATTGGTGAAAATTTGTTTCCACATATCGTCGGATGGCACGTCATGAATGGTGGGATTGAAAACATTGGTTTCTTTCGGAACTAAGAAATCAGGAGGATTTAGATGAGCAGATTTCATCAAATGGCATCTATAGTCTCGACAATGAAGTTTGCTGTTTTGCTGGTTTTTATCTGAAAAACAAAGTGAAGAGAATTGTCATTTTCGTATTATGAATTTAGTGTAAAGTCTAAATATATTATATCATTGGCATGTGAACGAAGACTTTTAGACAAAGCACCTTAAAGTAACACATCAATGTCACTTTGTAACTTTAACTTTAAAATCACATTATGAAAACGACCTCAATCAATTTCATAATATGACCTTAAAATTTAAGATTAACGTCCTAAGCAAACTGTCAATCAAAACACTTAAGAATATGTTATTTTGAAAGTCATATATAATTCATTTTGAAGTTAACGGCCGTTAAGGTTCTAAAGTGACATTCGCATTTAGAGCTTCTTTTCGAGACTACTTTGCGTATGGAAAAGTCTTCCTTATAAAACCAAAATAGAAAAAAAATGTTTCAAATTTTTTGTTCTAATTAGGTTTTTCACACATTTTGAGACATTTTAACTCGATTTAGAGAATACAACTTTTTTGATTTTTTTTCGATACAACATCTACTTCCGTGATGTAAAAGTAATAATTAAAAGCCTTTGACTTACCTTCACTCATATCTGCTGATTCAAAATTAGGGCATCCATAATATTCATAATGCTTGTTTTTGTCCATTACTGATCCAGCATCTTGCTTCACTGCTACTCCAATATCGTCTAAGAAAAATTAAAAATGTCTAATCGTCTACCTATGGATTTTTCACAAAATATAGCTCACCTGAATATCTGCACTTATTTTCTTGTCTTGCGAGTCTCATGATTCTTGAACTTCTTGTAGTGGAAAACATCTTTCTAGTTAACACAATGACAACCGTCCGTTCTGTATGAAAGCATCCACTGTACTGTTCAAAAAAGCCAATGTGTAAAACGAAATATCCTAACTATGCATTTTGCAAGTCAGGACAAGTCTATTACCCAAACGCGGTAATTTTGTACCATATGCGTAAACAGAACTAACCTAACTCCACGCTATGCTGGATATCGACTACTTTTGTTAAGGTCAGAACTATCTTATCTGAAAAAGTTGTGGTAATTAGGTATATTCTGTATTACTCATTGTTGCAGAACCAACCTATCTCCAATTAAAGTTCCAATTAGGCTTATGGTTTAAGATAGGATGATTCTGCATTGAAATTAAAATTGAATTTTCAGATAGGATATTTTTTGACTCAACTGTTACTGTCCAAGTAATATAGATGGACATAGGTTACTTCTGTGTTGAATCCGTGGTGTTTCAAACTATCCTAAGTCATTAAAATCGAAAAATAACAAGTTTTGGAGTTAGGCTACTTCTGCTCTGAAGCGACGATTTGAGAAAAACTATCTTTTTTATTATAGTTGTATTAAATTTGGCACTGAATCCATTCTAGTGGTTACACTATTTTAAAAATATGATAATTGTTTTCTAACAGGTTCGTAATTAGCGGCCCAGAAAATCTTAGTATATAGCAAAAATACTTGTTTGTGTAATTTGTTTAAAAAAAATGTTCAAACAAATTTGAACCGCCCTACCTAGCGGTAACCTCTTGATTCATGTCAAGGGGAATTCATCAAAGTGATTATGAAAAAAATAGTCGCGAACTAATATCCCTCTCATATTTGAATATGATTATTAGATATCCTGGAAGTAATTTTTTGACAAGTTTGGAATAAGTAATTGTAGCTTAGTGGAAGGGGGCAAGGAGGAGATGCCCCCCTTTTCCTAGGTCGGCAAAAATTAAATGGAGAGAAGCGAGAGAACGTTTACAAAAATTAAATTATTCATGTACAGGGGTTCTCCACAAGCTGAATTAATATCTATTAGATGAGAAATTACTAGGATTAGTTGAAATCTATTTTAGGTATAAACTTAATTTTTCTAAGAGGACTATATATGTATGTTACGTGTTTTGAAATTCGAACCTCGCGTTTGGGATTTTGGAAACGATAAAGAGAATGTCACACGATCCGTACCATCAGTGGTTTTCTACCTAATACAATGCATGCATCAATAATTACCGGCGTCCAGGCTACACGGTCAATATCACATCTCACGATAAAATATATCGACGGATCACAGTAAATACTGATGTTGTGATATTCGCGTAAATGACATGGAGGCAAAGTTGCGTAGGTAAATAAAAAATGGAACTTGGACAGTTTGGAAATTCAAAGTATTTCCGAATTAACTCTGTCGTTTTCATTTTTTCCTAGCTTTAGTTCGACAAAACATTTCAAACATCCACATTGTCTACAAATTTCAAACAAATTATATCAACAATACCATTAGCACTTTTTCTTTTCTACACGGTGGCATAATTAGAATTTCGATCAGATGTATGTATATGAGTTACGTTATGTTGTTCTTCATTCGATGAATTTAAACCAACTATATGAGAAAGTTTTGAATTTATATCAATGAGTAACGTGTTATCCTCTTTGATGTTCTATGAAATAAATGACTATAATAATAACGTCAAGGCTTACTCAGGAAACATTTTTTGATAATACTGTACGACATGTTATAATATTTGAAATCATGATTAAAAGCAATTCGTCTATGCAAAACTGGCATACATAAAAAAAATAAAAGCTGGGACGGTGAATAGGAGACAAAAATCATATTAATGTTCTATTTACACCTCTTTGCAAGGATCAAAAGGAGGAAATGTTAATGTACAGTTTTCATTTTCCGTGTATCTCCGGATCCTATACTCGAAGCGTCAAGAGTTTTCAAATGCATACTCTGAAACATATAAATACGCAACATTCAACCGAATCGCATTTCTTACCGTATCCGAGATAACAATGGTGAAGATATGACAAATTTGTTTCTCAAATCATTCTAGAAAAGACTATGTAAATACCTATCCTTCTGCATATCCTAAATGACTATTTTAGGCTATATGACGAAATTTCAAGCAATTGTATAAAAACAACGATTAAATATTGACAAAGAAGAATATTCCCGGATTTAGTATAATATAGTTCCTTTGAAGTGGCATATAATATAATTCTAAAAGATGTACGGTGTTCCACTTAGTTGTTTTTGCCATTTTGGTATGAATCGCCCTGGAGGGAGAGGTATATTCCAAGTAGGAAGCGTATTTATCCACAATTTTTGTAAACAACATTTTTGATTTAGTTTTATAGTAATGGAGATATTGTCCAATTACATACTAAAAACTTTTCCTGTATGTCCAATTAGTTGCAGAAGTTACGTCGATGGATAGCTTGAGCGTTTTAGAAGATTTTTTTTGTTAATTAATACAAAGGCTTTTATTCGGAAATGAGGGGCCTTAGCATTCACTCTAAAGAATATATATGGTAAATACTTCTGTACAATTTCTCTTACAACAGGGTTCACATTTTTCTAGTTAGCCTGGTCAAATAAGTTTTGTGACCTTTATGGATCAGCGGTTTTTAAATTTTTCAACGCAGATTCCACTCCACATATTTTCTAATTGCACAGCTCGTATTGCTCGTGTTGTGTTTGGAGCAACAAAACTGACTGGGTGATTATAATTTGAAAAACGAGTTTTGCTGGATTTCACAATCTTTGAATCCTTCGAATAAACTATTTACGTTTTAAAATATTTCCACAAAGTTGACTTCTTTCTGAATTCTCCGCCAAGAAAATGTTTTATTGCGTTCAAAATCAGAAACGAAGAAAAAAGTATAAAGTCAGGGGGAGTTATACATTTTTTGGTGACAATACTGGTACCATTAGATAGGCCTTTCAAAATTTCTACAAAATCCAGTGATACTTTCCAAATTATAGAAGGATCAATGCTAAAATTAATTTTTGTTGACAGTTACTCTATAATAACAGGACTGATTAACATGAACTATAAGTATGTTTTTATCTGTAATAGAGGGCCAAGGATTACCTGGCGAACGCCAAATGTACCTCCTATATTATATCTGAAAATTATTCTTCCATTTGAAGTTTTTTCGTGATTAGAGCACTTCCCTGACCTATTGACTTGCCTGAGCACCCTCTGAGGGATATGTACGCCCAAAAAATAGGTATATAAATTTGCTATAGCAATATATTTAAGTTTTGTAAAAAGTAACCCTAGTTGTTTTCCATATACATACGAATTGTCAAATTATCGTGGAAGATTATATAAATGGATAAAACAATGGAATGCAAATATAAAAAAGATATCAAGCATAGTTAAGTGGATATGATTTGTGGAACTTCCAGCAAAATTTTTTTTCAAGGTGCGCTCCATTCCGTTTTGACCTGCGTACGGTCTTGAGAGATATCCACAACTATGCGAGACAGATGAAGTTTTGAAGACTAAACGTAACAATATCAATATATGAATATTTATTGGTAAATTGGCAAGGTACCCTGCATGCGTACAAATAAATGTATATGGACATGTACAGTATACAGATTACAATATTAGAAAAAACATTCTAAAAACCATATAACTAACAAAAATATCTTGTTCTCAAGACACATCAACATCCACAAACAATGAAATATTCCTTCTAGTTAAAGACTATACTAGTTATTAAAAACCAGCCAATAAATCAAAAGAAATATCCGCATTCTTTCTCATTCTGTCTTGGTTTGTCTTTAATTAGAAACTAATTCCAAACACCAAACTGTTTAGTGCATAATATAAAATATGCTCAAATTTTCCAACACATACTCAGTGATCAAAGGATCCGAATTGATTGACGGAATTATTGTTTCTGGTCCTTTACAAATCTATCGTAAAACCGGTACACAGCATGTCAACAATATTACTCAAAAAATCAAAATGCATATACTTAACGATATTCGGTTGAAATCACAGTTCTTATTGGTTCTTTGTTCATCCACATTAAAATTATATCTATATTATGTTTAGTAATACTATAATATTCCATGCTATACGCATCGAATGGCAAACTAGGCATTATTTGATCCAGAAAGATCTCAGTAGCTTATAGTTAATGCCCAAATTGATTCAGTAGAAAAATATAACTACATATTTAGAAAATGTTGATTTCGCCTGTGTGGTAAGATCCAGAAGAATTTCATTCATTGGCTATTTTCATTTTTTTATATCAAAAACAAATAATTTGAAATAGGAAATGTCACTCTTTCGTTCTCGAGTTACTCTTTGAAAATTTGTTCCCACACCTTCTGAAGCTACTGAACTGATATAAGGATCACTGGAATGGTATTATGACGTTCTAAAAAGTGGTTACCTACTACATCTAAGCATAAACCTATGCGGATAACTTATTATCTTCCTTTTCTTTGGCTCTTCTTTGAAAACAAGGAACAAATATCCATAACGCAGCACCCGCAGTTATCGTGATACCTAAAGAAATAAATAGAGATACATAAGATCTGACAGTTTCGTACCACAATCCACATAGCGGCGGTCCAATGAGCTGTAAGATCCCATTGACGAATAATCCCATCCCATATGTGGATTGTAATCTCTCTTCACCGAGCATATCAGCCATCACAATGGCTGTGACACCTACATAAACGCCCGAACATAAGCCAAATAAAGAGCAAAATGCTGCTATGACCCAGTAGTTTCCGAAGAGAGGCATAAAGCCTAAAGATATGCCTGATACAAGTAGTCCAATAACAAAATACCAGCATTTTGGGAAAGTCGTGAGATCTGACAAGGCGGAACCGCCTATTCTTCCAACTAAATCTAACGCCGATACAATTGAGAGCAAGAGAGCTCCTTGATTTTTGTCGAAGTTCAAAGTCTGTGCGTAAGATGGGAGTAGAATTAAAAAGTTGGTGTAACTGATAGCATTAGTAGCATTGGAAATTAAGATAACGAGATATATGGGATCTTTAAGCAGGCCTATATCGAACAATTTTGGCTTCTTCACTTCTTCTTTAACTTTTCCCTTAGCACTCGATTTCAAGCTAAAAGAGCTGGCAAAGATTTCTGGCTGTAAGGTCAAAGTACTGCCATGGTATGGAGTACTTATATACTGGAACGAGCTAGTCGAAGTACTGCGTTTAGGTGCAGATCTCCTTCTAGTGCTTGGTACTCTGCTTTGGGAATAAATCTCCATTGCTTTACCACCATTGATTTCCTTTTCTGGAACAGCATGCAAGGTACTGTTGCTGCTCATGCTGTGACCAGCTTTAGCTTTCATCACTTCGTGTTTTCCCATGGGCATACTGATTTTGCGTTCTCTATGCTCTTTGCTCTTCAGGTTTTGCACTGCAGCGCTGGACGCACTGCGGTTGAAACTGCCTTCCGAGGAATCAATTTGCTCTAAGAATGAGTCTGTGTGGGGTAAGGAGGGCAGACTGTCTTCCTGGCTGATTATAAACTTGGCTTGTAGGATATCTGGTTCTTCGTCTTTCTTTTCGATGGGCTCACGCTTCATGTGAAGTTCTACTTTGTCGTAGAATAGTGCAGCCACGAAAACATTTAACGTCAGTCCACCCATTATCAGCATCGTGCCTCTGGTGCTGGAATGAAAAAAACTTGAATATTCATGTACATATATTCTTCCTCACATTGATTTTAGAGAACCGTTTCCCGTTAAACAATTGCAATTAAGCCCAAAAGTGATATTAAGCTTGTCTAGTTTTGATGCTATTGTAAATTTAATAGCATTAGAAAATTTTGATGTATTCGCTGTTACAGAGACGTGGCTAAATGAAAATATTACTGGTGATGTGGTTAATATTAGCAACTATTGTTTCTTGCGTTGTGATAGAGAATCTCGTGGTGGTGGAGTTGGAATCTATGTTCAATCAAACTTACATGCTGAAAAGGTAGATATTCATACAAATTTTGGTGATTTTTTCGAAAGCATTTGGGTTAAATTGGTTGCGGGTAAGTGTTAACTGTTAGTAGGTGTTTTGTACCGACCACCCTCTAAAAACATACAACAATGTGCAGATTTATTAAATGGTTTCCTACCCAGCCTCTCGTTATATCATCATAACATCGTGATATTGGGAGATCCTGATACAAACTCGTATTTTTTCATTTTGACATTCCATCTTATAAAAGAAAACAAAAATTATTATTATTATATCACAATCAGGGATTTTAAACATTTCAGTGAGGATGATTTTCTTATCGATCTTTCTACATCGGGCATAGATGAATTATTTACGAAATCTAATATTGATGAGAAGGTAATGCACATTACAAGCGTTATCGTGGAAACCTATAATAAACATGCACCTTTTAAAACTGTAAGAGTTAATAAGCCACCAACACCTTGGTTAACTAATGAACTGCGCACTGTTCTTGATGAAAAGAATACTGCTCACGCTTTATATAAAACTGATAAAACCGTGGACGCCTATAATAACTTCAAATCGCTTAGAAACCGTGCTCTTAACATGATCAGGAGGGACAAAAAGACATATATCGAAAATTTGGCAAATGAAAATGATTCAAAAAAATTGTGGAAGTCTCTCAAACAACTTGATATAAATTTTCGTAGTAAAAGAACCCTTCCGGCAAGTTTTAATGACCCTACCAAAATTAATGATTATTTTATGTCTGTTTATAGCTATAAACCTGTTGATTCACTAGTTTGCGAAAACTATTTCAAAAATAAATTAAGCTCTGAATATATTTTTTCATTGAATAAAATTAGTTCAAATGACGTATTACAGGCAATAGGGAGCCTAAAATCTGATGCGAAGGGAATTGATGGTATATTCCTGTCAATGATCCAGCTTTGCCTGCCAGTTATTCTCCATCACATCGTCCACATCTTTAACGACTGTTTGGAAAAAGGATACTTTCCAAACACATGGAAACAAGCTCTAATTATGCCAATTCCTAAAAAAATGAAACCCACTGAGTATAATGATCTCAGACCTATCAGTTTATTACCAATTTTATCCAAAATTTTAGAAAAAATGATAAAGTTCCAATTGACCGCTTACCTAGAAAAATTCTTTATACTTCCCGACACTCAATCCGGTTTTAGAAAAAAATATAGTACAACATCTGCCCGACTTAATCTGCAAGACAATATTTTAAGTGCCTTAGATAAGAAAATGGCACTAGCCTTAATCTCTATAGACTATTCGAAAGCCTTTGACAGCATCAATCATAAATTATTACTTGCTAAATTAAATTACAGAGGTCTTGACAGTGTATCCCTTTCATTTTTCGACAGTTACCTTCATCAAAGAACTCAGTGTGTTTTTCTCAATCCTGTTCCTCATATATACGTTAGTCTTAAGCAAAAGTATTGATAATTCTCATGTCCAGCCATTTGCAGACGATACGCAATTGCTCCATTATTTTAACCCAGATAATGTCAATAGTACTACTCAAATTTTACAAAACGATGTTAATAAATTAATTAAATACTCTTTAGATCACAATATACTTATTAATCCACAAAAATCTAAAATGTTACTATTTTGCGCACAAAGAAAAACATACAATGTAACACAGCTCTTGAACATTCAGATAAATAACGAAATTTTGCAATTTTCTGATTCTGCAAAAAACATGTTAAAAGTCTATCTCAGAAAACCTACCTACGGCTGCGCACTCTTATAGCAAACAGGTATTTACTAAATTTTAAGTTGCGTAAAAAACTATGAGAAGCATTGGTCATATTTATACTAAATTATTGTAAGATCGCATACTATACTTGTTTAGACAATTTCACTAAAAACGTTATTCAAGTTATTCAAAACAATTGCATACGATTCATTTTTGGCTTACGTAAATTTGATCATGTATCAGCGAAATATCCCGTTCTAAACTGGTTTTAAAAATTAATGACATGGTCAAGTATCACTATTCAGTTTTTGTTCACAAATTGCTGCTCACGTCTAAACCTTATTACTTGAAGGAAAAAAATTCATTTAATAATGATGTTCACTGTAGAACTCTCGGAGAAAATAATATTAGAATACCCCTGCATACGTCTACACTTTTTAAACGCAGTTTTTCTTACAATGTTGCTATTATTTATAATGACCTTCCTAAAGTATATAAAGAATTTTCATTACCTGTATTTCGACAAAAAGTTAAAACATTATTACTCAACCCTCCAAACATATAATTTACGTAATCATTCATTTCTTTTTTATTCCATCTTTAATTCAGATTAATAATTTTTTGGTGCATTTGGGTTTGGAAAGTATGCCTTTTTCTCTTTTTTTAAATTTTACTTTCGATGTAATGAACCAAATCTGTTTGTGGATAGTGTATTCTTTTGAACATCTGCTAGAGACTATATGGTTAAGTGTAAGAGTAGCAGCATGCTAAACTTCGCCATATAAGTCTGACATTTGGCTATACTACAATGTAATTGTGGATAAATAAAGACGTCTATTATTATTAATTTGAAAAAAGCGACTACACCCTAAGATACACAGTAGGAATGCTCCGAAGCGCCAGACTCGAAAAACATAATGATTCTGGATATACAGGGTATACGCGTTATGGTAGTGATTATTGAAATCGGTCATAGGAGGGGTCAAAACAAGTCAAAAAGTTCATATGACCCATGGTCCAAAAGTCAATAGATTTTTGTCTAAATGGCTTTATTAAAACGTTTTTAAACTGGGTAATTAACAAATAAATGGCGTTAAGTTTTTCTAACTTAAGCCAAAATTTGTAGTCAGTAAGTAAGTTTAATTAAATTATATATTTAAAACCCACATGACAACAGCGTGTCGGTCTTTCATCACTCTTATCGAACCGACAATCGATCGCAAACTGTAACAGTGGATAGTTATCGTTTTGCATAGATAAACTACTTTATCGTTTTGTCGAGCAGAGCATCGGGCGTGTCGTTTTGTTTTTGTTCGCGTACGTCGTCGTGTTTATTTACAATGTTCTCGAATCAAGAATTCGCCGACATGTTGTTAGTTTACGGTGAAGCTCGTCAGAATTCTTACGCGAGATGGGATATCAAATATCCATAATACACGTGGGCCCAAGAAAATCCTCATACGATTCGTGAAGGTCAGTTCCAACAACGTTTTAAAATAAATATTTGGGCGGGTATTCTTGACGATCAGGTAATTGGCCCTTTCGAGTTACCCCCAAAGTTGTCAGGAGCTTTCTAGAAAATAACCTACCAGAACTTTTGGAACAGACCTTAGACAACATGCCATTATAACGGAGACAGAATTTGTGGTTTCTTCAGGACGGGGCACCACCACACATTTTTATAGGCGTTATTCAGTATTTGAGTGAACATTATCCAAATCGCTGGATCGGTCGAAATGCTCCTGATCCTCGAAAATGGCCAGCAAGATCTCCTGACCTCAATCCGATGGATTTCTGGTATTGGGGAGAACTTAAAGGGATGGTTTATGGGGCTGGTCCAGTAACAACTGAAGCATAACTTCGCGAAAAGGACCTAGAGTAAGAAGAAACTGGGTTCGTCGTAATGAAGCTTGTGTGGAAAGTGGAGGACGACATTTTGAACACCTTCTTTAAATACACAAAAGTGCAGTGTGATTTTTAAAAAGAAAAACAATGTATGTATCAAAATTGTGTTCCCTATTTATAAGTGGATTTTTTTAATACGTTCAATAAACTTTCACACACCAGGTGAAGCGCTGAGACAGTTAGGGGTAAGTCCTTTTTTTTAATTATTTGCATTTTACGAGTACATTATTAAATAATGAAATAATACCTAAGAGCCAAAAATAACAAACTCCATCTTTATTTACACTGCTTTCCGTCGTAATCTGCGTCTGGCATTGAGGCGTTGTCAGGTTTTATTTTGCTTTAAAGTCTAAAAAGTCTAAAGTCTAAAAAAATGCCGTTTTGACCCTCATGTTATATGAAACGTTTTGCTTCTTTTAACCCACTCTATCACCCATTTAAATAATGACTATCATATTTCTATAGCTCAAGCTGATTTTGTGATATAGTCATGAACATTGGGAATAATAATAATAATTATAATAAATCGTCTTTATTGAATTTTACATATAAAATATGATAATGAAATGTAGTACAAGTGGCGATGTCTAACTAATAGTCATTCTACTCAACCAAGAGAGCATCACCCAAATAAGCAATAAATACAGGGTGATCCACAAGTGGTGACCAAAAATGAAGCATCATACACAGGACCGCATTTTAAGGGGGTCTTATAATATAAAAATTTTTCCTCGAGGGCTTCGCGCAATTTTTCAAATTTTACATTCAATTTCCTACAAATAATTGTACCGTGAATGGACTACGAATAGGGTATCGTTTTTATTTTGCAACATAATATGTAGAGGGACTTCTTGTACATTCTTTGCTGAACAATAATAAGACACTAATCCAAATTTTCATGTCGATGTCACCAAAACAGCCCACGCTGTAGAGAAACATGTATTTCTAAAAAGCGACGTTTTCCTAACAAATATTTGGTTGAATATCATCATATTCACGAGTTTAATCGAGGAATGCTTTCTGGACTACCCTGTATAATAATGATATGAGTAAATTAACGGGAAACGAGTCATACGTTCTGGACAAGATCTTACCTGTAAGTATCTAGAATGATCCTGAGCAATGGTGGAATGAGAATGGATCCAAACGCAGATCCTGATATACAAATACCATTTGCTACCCCTCTTAGTTTGACAAAGTAGCTGCATACGATGTATACGGTTGGAGGAAATGAAAGTCCAGCACCAAAACCAACTAGGATGCCGTACGAGAAGTAGAGGTAGTATACCGAGTTTGCCCAGAAGCTCAAAATCATACCAAGGGCGGCCGATGCTCCCCCAATCACGGTTACAAATCTATAGGAGTATTTTACAGATAATATGCTAGACAAAGGACCTGAAAATAAAAAAAATATATATATAGATTGGTCATTCCTGAACGTAATTTATACAAAAAGTAAGTACTGAATGTCTTTGCGTCCATTATACCGCATCATAGAGAAAACGTGGTCAATTAAACAGTTGTACTGGAACATTTTCATTACCCGTAATACATTTTTTAATTACTCTAAGTGACTAAATTATTCAGTTTAATTAAACTGAATTTTCAAAGTTTGAACAATATTCGCTTTTCTGATGAAGCTCATTTTCATTTGACTGGATTTGTCAACAAGCAAAATTACCGGTATTGGGCCGCAGAAAATCCCAAACTAAAACACCAACGATCTTTGCATTCGCGTTATGTTACCACGAGCATGGTGCCAGTGAGTTTTCACGAATTTGAAGTTGAGATTCGAGGAGTGCGTACGTCTCGTTGACTCATATGTCAAGGATGTTATTTTAAAGAAAATAATTCCATGTGTCTATTAAAAATATAAATTATTGTCCCTACGCTGTGAAGTTTTTTCTATGATTTTTCAAAATCCGCTCAACATAATGGCCCTCCCTGTAGTATGTAATGCGCATGATGCCTGTTAGGTGTTTCGTTGAAGCACAACTGTTGAAGTAAATGTCATAGTAACTAATTTTCATATCGCAATTAGTTAAAAGAATGACGTACTGCTATCGTTTTTTTTGGGTCGAAACCAACGAAAAGGACCTTATCTCCCCTCTCGATCATCTAAAAAGCATATGTTCATTAATTCATTCTAAGCTTCTCAGTGTGTGGGACGTTGGCATCCAAACCAATGGCGGATCCAGGATTTGTGTCTGGGGACGCTGGTCAAAAAATGACTGGCGGACTGATGGCAGATGACAACCCTATCCTTGCCACTCTAGGGTACAGCCTGTCCGTCACAGTGGTGGATTTAAGTAATGACAGAATGGACATTGCCGCCTGGGCCCCCCCAAGGAAGGGTGGTCACAGGGCAAAAATCAGCTCTAGTGTCTATACTGTTCAGCGCGTCTGAATGTAAAATTAATAACAAGAAATCAGAGTGTTGTTATATTCCTTTAATGACCATCTGCGTAATGTTTATGAAACAGCGCGTCAGAATTCAGTTTGAATAAGAAAATTCCTTTTCATTTCTTAAGTAATCTTTTGAAAAATGACTATTTCATTTCTTAAAAATGACCGAATGACCCCTTTATTTCTCAAGGAGTGGAGGGGTTATTTTTTCATTTTGTGCTTACAGTGATATATTATTACCTGGCATAAATGTTCAGAAAATAAATATCTTCTTTTAGTCTAATAAAGACTTATAGTCTTTTCACGTCTTCAGTGCTTATAACCATAAACTTTCACAATACTGTGCATTTTTTTATTTGATGGCATATCTATTTTCTTCATGATAATATTGGGGGAGAAATTTTTTGAATGTATTATCAATTGCATAGAAGATGAAGAGTGGGAGCTTCTGGCGAAGATATAATGAATACAAGATCTCTCCTTTCCTCCATGAACTGGGCCTTTTTCCTCAATTTGTTATGGTGGCATTCAGTAATGAATACTGTGCAAGTTCAAATGCAAATGAAAGAAATAGACTTAATGATGGCTCAAAGAAGCATTTCAGCCACATTAAAAAATTAAAAGATTTGAGGAGCGAAAGCACATACGATAATTTTGTTCTGAAGCCTAAGAATAAATGGGAAGAGATGGAATGGGAAAATCTTGGTATTCCCGTTGTTAGAAAGAGGAAAATCAAAAAAATGTTCGCCACTGGAAACACACGAAAAACATCAAATAAATTACTACGAAGTTTTGGATTCAATGAGTAACGAATTGTAAGAACGTGCTGAAGGATTTCGTGAAGTGAATGATGTGTTTGGTTTTTTGATGTCAGATAAATTAGTCAATCTAAAATAAAACGAATTAGAAACCATTTGATGGAAAAATATTCGGAATTTTTCACTACAGCACACTAAAATATGAATTAGCAAGTTTTACGAGCATGTATTTTTCAGAAAATCGTGATTGTGCTAATGACAGCCCGCTAGGTTAATTGAAGTTCCTGATTGCAAACAATTTTATAGACAGTTTTCCAGAGAATTTTCAAAACCGCGTGAATATTGAAACAGTTGAATTAGCTGTTTACTTGGCACGTTGAAGCAGCATCAGATTAACTTTTTGCATCAAATTACTATTAAAAAACCTTCTGCACTATCCATGAACTTGTTTCTGTTACTTGTGCATGTCTTTCTAATTTTTTTATTCTCAGTTGCCGTTATTAATTTGCAAATAGCGATAAATGTGGAAAATATCGCATTCGCAAATAGTGCCCAGTATATATCCTGTAGTAATGCATGTTATTTAACGTATTTTAGTGTTGTTCACCAAGTTTGTATTCAATGAAATATTAATCACGGCAAACATGACAACAACTATCGATCATATTTGTTTTTTTTCGTACTTATAATTTTATGCAAATCCTATAAATAGGATGCACTCCAAATTTAACTCGACGCCCTTTACTTATCGGTAGCATCCTGATAACTTTTAAACTTTATTACGCACAAGAAGTTTGCTGGTGAATCATCAAGTTTAATTTACTTCAAAAAATTACGATGTGCATTACAACCCGTGCGCACTATTAAATGCAAAAACCAGGCTGATGTACGATTGCACTAACATGACATTACGCATTAAATTTTGATATTAGTTTCTGAGTTATCATGCAACTTTCAAAGTTTCCATTGCCGTATTTTATTTGTCAATAATTGCAGTAATTTATGTTATTCGCAAAACAGTTATGGTGCGCACTATTTGCCGTCTGTCCCCGATCATACCACTGGCCCCCCCCAGTGCATATTGCCGACCGGGCCCTTTTCCCTAAATCAGCCACTGGTCCGTCAAAAAGTATTTTTTATTAAATTTGCTCACAGCTTAAGCGCGCGCGAAGAAGTTCTTCCTACATCAAGCTGACCGCATAGGCAACCAGTCTTGCGCTATCATCTATGAGCTTACAGTTAAATCAAAGTTGACGGATGCAGTGCTGCCAGTGTTTAGTAGAAAATACCAGTACGGCATCTATTTAATATGTGTGCATTACAGATTTATCCAAGAGATTTGGAACTTTAAAAATTGGTGGTCGAACTAAATTCGCCTGGGGGGGTCATGACCCCCCTGGCTCCGCGCTAGATCCAATCGCCTATGTATCGCTTTGTACCGAAGTTGTTCGTCATGCTGCTGTACACCTGTGACAATTGATCGTTAAATTGATGTGATTCGAAAAAAAGCGAGTTGTAACGCTCGCACTACTTGTTGTTTACTTTTACTCCCGGATGTCAAATCGCGTAGGAACAACGCAAGTGGATAGTGTTTCCTGTACCATTTTCATCAGAGTAATGCTAAATGTACGTTTTTTTTTTCAGCGCACCAATTTAACGCTCGTGTTCCCTGATACTTATAAATGTTTTGAATCAAAGTTCACACGCTACGAACAAGGTTAATGTCCAAAACTTCGTGATAGCCCATAACTTCGTTAGTTTTAGCTTGAGGCGCCAACATAAAATCGTGATGTACACTGAGTGACAAAAAAAAGGTAAACACCTACGTATGTTTATCCGATTTTAATAATTTTTGTTCAGTGTCCCTTACTAGTAAAATGATTTTCAGCTTGATTCGTCAAATGTCTGCAGAAGCTGGTTCAATAATGTGTTGAGGATCCACGATTTCTTATACACTCATTGACACGCCTGAGCATCGTGCTGATGAGGTGCTCGATATCCTGTTGCAGTATCTCATTCCAGGCTACTGCAACTTCGTGGGTAAGAGCTGCTAAAGTCTGTGGAGGGTGTTGCAAATTCAAGAGCCTGCGACCTATCATGTCCCAGACATGTCCAATTGGGTACAGGTCAGGCGATCGTGGTGGCCAAGGTAAACGGTTGATGCGATGTTGATCCATGAAGGCTAACGATGCCCTGGCGACATGCGGTCTGGCATTGTCTTGTTGAAAAATCGGGTTTTGAATGGTGCCTTAACCCGGCAATTCGACCCCTCTCAGCAATCAAATTCAACATTTAACTGACACCATAAATGTACGAAAACTGAATGATTCTTCATCACCAAACAATACACGCAGCCACCACAAAAACTTAACAGAAAAACCTGACCATTTTATCACTTGTTGTTCATGGCAAGATAAATCCATATGACAAAAGTTCTTGAATTCTAATGCGCAGGTGTTTAACCTTTTTTTGTCCCTCAGTACATTTTATTAGGATCTATATTCAATCTTTTTCTCTATCATTTGACCTGCCTCAAAACCAAAATTCAAATTTCCATCCATTGTCATGAATAATGGACGATCTTCGGAACAGGCAGTCGATGCTGAGCAGGACGAACTTGTCTTTACGAGGGATGTCTTTCAAGTTTTGCATACGGAAATAAAACAACGCGGTAGGTGGTTTTAAATGACGCTATTGTTTCTCCCCGAAGATTAATACACATCTGCATGCGCTCGAACTAATTTATTCCACTCGTTTGCTGGCAGATCCAAAACGGCATCTTTGAATGCGTCAACTGCTTCTTCTGGTGACTGGAACCTTTGACCACGCAGTCTGTTTTTAATTTTCGGGAAAGTAAAGAAATCGTTAGGACTTAGATTGGGACTATATGGAGGATGGTCCAATAATTCCACTTTTCTTCCGTTAAATACTGCCTTGTTTTTTAGGCTGTGTGCGAGCTTGCATTGTCTTGGTGGAGGATGATTCTTCTTTCGGTTTTGATTTTTTGAAGCTCGGTGATGACTTTTGGCAAACAAATGATGGTATACCAATCCACAGTAACAGTTCTTTGTTCATTAAGAGGAATTGTTGCAATATGACCCGCTTTTGACATAAATGTCGCGACCATCTTTTTCGAAACACTTCGAGAACGGATGACTTTTGTTGGCTTTTCTTCACCTTCGAACACCCAAACAGCCAACTGTCGTTTATTTTCTGGTTTATAACAGTAAATCCACGATTCATCACCACTAACAATGCTGTACACATTTTTGAGTTTCCGGAATTGAACCAGTCAAGCGTTTTTTGACACCAATTAACCCTGGCTGCTTTCTGCTCGTCGAGGTGGGGTATCCAACGAGAAACTAATTTTCTTGTAAATTTTTTTGAATTCAGATCTTTGAGATCTTCAAGAACGCCTCAATCTCACGATATGTCTCATGTCTATCTTCAATGATGAGTTTGCGCACATCATCGACGTTTTCCTGGGTGACTGCCGTTTTTGGTGCACCCACCCTTGGATCGTCGCTAAGTCTCACCCGTCCACGTTTGAATTCTTCATACCAACGGGAAATTGTCGACTGATGTGGCGCTTCGTTGCCGAAAACAGACAGTAACTCAGCAAGGAATTCTTGTTGCGATAATTGCCTCTGAAAGTTGTAATAAATTATGGCGCGAAAATGTTCTCGGTTGAGTTCCATTTTTCTAATGACTTGGTGAAACTTTGAATTTAGGTTTACTAAAGAGTGAGGTTAAGATTCAGTACTGACGTTCGATCCGCGCGGCCTACTATGTTTCAATATGCAAAACTTAAAAGACATCCCTCGTAGCTATAAAACTATGCAAATCTCTTAAGTGTCTCATAAGAGGTAGACAACTTAATTTGCTAAAACATGTGACATTCCTGCTAATAATTTCAGTATAAACAAATTCAGATAGGAGTGAAGGCATTCACATTTAAATAAATAAAAAAATGTAAAAATCTGTCTAAAATATGTCAAAGTGTCGTAAGCCGAATCTGGGATAGCAAATCGGTTTTATAATCCTAAAACGGAAGCTTCAAATCGTACCTTTTGATATAAAAATTCGTAATTATCGATTTTTATGCCTATAACTTGTGTACCAGAATACTGACATGATGTACAATTCGCTGTAGCTAAATAGCAATTAGGCTCAAATGGACATATATGTCCATCGAATTTATTTGTTTGTTTATCAGTACAGATTTATCTAGGTAGAGCTGTCTTGGGAATCGAGTGCCCAATTAAATTTTGATTGTACGTCCTATTTACAAGTATACGACAATGGATGTGGCTCAGTTCTTGGTGCGATTCTATGAATAAAGCTTAAAAAAGCATTACATGCAATTGAAAAACGTTGTTAGAAAGCGTTAGAAGCCGGCTGGATACCGAAGCTCAACACCGCGTTGCCTAGCATCGCTGATGCTGTAATCTGTTACACTGGTTCATTGAATTAAGATTCATATTGAAAATATGCGTTAGTTTATCGTTTACGTCCAAATAATGGTTTGATTTTGAATTGTGAATTGTGTCGAATCTGTTTAGGATTAATTACTATTAATTAATAACTCAGGATGTGTTGATTTAATCACCATCCGAAGATATCGAAGATAATTCTAAAATAAATTAAAACACTAAGGCGCATCAAAATTGAAATAAACAATTCTAATCAAAATGAACACACAATATTAAATCAAATGTTCGAACAGGCCTCCTTCTTGGATTTCTTTTAGGTAAATTTCGGTATGCACTTATTTCAACGTCTTTCTCCAACTGGAGTATAAGTGAGGTTCAGTTTGTATAGGTTAAGGAAATTTTGAATATGTATACTTTTTTGTTTTTACTGGAATTGGTGCATCCTTTTTTGATATAATTATTATTGAATACATGATACTAAATAGTCAATAAACATCTTATTCTCATAATTCACAACATTCAGCATTTCTATATTGAAAAACTGATAACACGAAATAAGGGACATGACTTTTGTTTGTTGTGTCGTTGAATTCGTGATAAACATACTTGATAAGTATGAGTATTTTATCATGGTACCTTTGAATCAGAGCACTAATGGGAAGTTTTCAAACAATTATAGGTCATTACCGTATCCAGTATCGTTGTTCTTATCCTTAATTTTAGCTGATGAATACGAAGACGTTAATTTACATTAATAACCGGGGTCCCTGTTATTGGGGACCCCGGTACCACTAGTACAAGAGGTGTTTATTCTGTGTCAGATATGTAATGTGTTTCTATGTCGAATATTTATGACATACAAATTTACATAAATTTATAATATTCCAAGAACAAACATTGTCAATCAGTACAATAAAGTTTTGTTTTTTGCTGTTTATATCATAGTCTTGATTTAAAGGTGTTACCGAATGTAACTTTTGTTTGAAATTATTGTTTTGAGATATTTCGTATCCAGCCTAGCATGAGTGTCTACACTTATTTTTTATTTGTTATGTGATATTACGTCAGCTAGACATAGTTAATAGCTAGGTTCTTACTTTTCAGTTTGTTGATATTATTTACCTTTACTACATATGTTATATATAATGGTAAAACCAACAAAAATATTTTGTATACCCTAATATGATTATTTCGTTATCAAAACTGTTTCTCTTTATTTATGAAAATTTAATTTAATTTATCTCACATTATATACCCAGCGTCTGTATCAAGAAATAGGAGACACAATCACGAGGCAAAATTTTGTTACGAAATAAGGTTAAAATCGAGGGTTTCTAAAAAACATTTTACAGGATACAGCAAACTAAAAAAACAAAGATTTTGTATTTTACTACTCTCAAAATGTCTGCCTTCACCAAAAAAAAGGAGAAGATTTATATCGATATCTTATCAATAGATGTTTCAAATAACTAGAAATGAAAAGTCCTTTAACATGCCAAAGTTTTGGATATTTACCTTAGTTGGGTGACATGTTATCGCCTTAAAAACCATGCCGATAACCTTCCAAGAATTCAGACCCTTTTTGGTGATATATGAAAAATAGAGTAGCGGCATTTATCTAATTCTTCCTGACTATATATCGTACGTATTGTTTTTTTCTGGTATCATGTTCCTAATTTCAATGAACCATATTTCCGAATCATTGAAACTAGCACAGCGAACTTTCACACGGTGAATCACGATTGTGTTTTCATTTTAACAGTAGTACTTCTTAGTATTCTAGACTCACCTAACGAACTGTACAAAAAATAGCAAAGTGAAGGTATCCACATCACTTCAGATTTACTAGCATCAAACACTTCTCCGAATTCCACGAATAAAACTCCAAAGGATTTGATCATTCCTGGAATAAGGATATTAACCATGGTAGCGCCAAATAGTACTAGCCACCCCCATCCCCCGTCAGGTGGTACCATACGCCATTTCTCCTCCTTTTTCTCATTTCTTCTGTGTTCTAGTAAAACTACACCTGAAACAAAGCGGGTAAAAAATAGTGCACATTCTGTTAAACATTTATCAAAGTTGAAGTAGTATTTTTCATTTTTCAAAAACGTTTTCAATCTCTTGAAAATTTCTGCGCATCAAAGTAATCTAAAATGATAAGAATCTCGATAAATAGTCTTGGAACTTTCTGAGGTATTTCGTTTTTTGCTCATAACACCAGTGCCAGTATTGGCCCAGTTTCCAAAAACTAACGTGTTTCGTCCTTGGCTCGGTAGTAATCTCGTGTCAAAGTTCGAGCAGTATCTACTTTTCAGGATCCAGTGGGGATGGAATTATACTTTTTTTTATACTCCAACTACCACGAAGGCCTAAGGCCTAAACACCCATTGGGTACAGTGGGGCTATAGGGGGATACAGGAGAAAGGGGGAACGCCACACGGATTCTGGCGAGGGAACACGTGTGCATGCAACATGCACACATTCTGGCTCCGCCTACGAGATCCGCCGGGTGGTACCTCCGCGTTCGACAGTCAGAGACCATCTACCAACTACGGACAATCACAACATCCGTAGCCCAGAGAAAAGTTTCTCCTGGGACGGGATTCGAACCCGCACAGCGCACGGCGACTGATCAGGAGACCGAAGAGTCTACTACTGCGGCCACCGCGCTGGAAGGTAAAGACGCACAGGAAAACTTTGCGATTTTTCAACCGCACGTTAACTTTCAAGTTTGGTAACTAACTTGCAAGTTAACTATCAGTTGTCCGTAAACACGCTACGGTTGATCTGACAACGTTGCCTCTCCGTTTGAAATATCTTGTTTTGTGATGCTCGCTGTTTGTGTGTCGTGTCATCCACGACATCTCATGCAGTGTTGTCAAACCTACCGATTTTTTTGTATTCACCGAAATACCGAAAGCGTTCTCATTTTCCAAGGTTTTTTCAAAATAATTTAATATTTCCATAATGTAGTGAAAAAGAGCTGAAAATGCGGCTAAGAAGATGTGGTCGGATATCCTGACCTTCAGTAGGAGATCAGGAAGGTTCTATAGATTAGTAGACAAGTATGTGGGGTAGTGTTGGTGAACTCAGGATCGACACAAAGGACCAACGGTGACAGGTTTCGCCTCCCCACTATTACTACTACTACGTTCCAAATCATAGAGGGGGCAAGGATTCTTGATGACGCGGCAGACAGACGTACATATATAAAGACCGGGCGTGAGTGATGAGGCTTTACCGCTAGGGACCAAGCTACAGCTGATGAAGGCCATCGCCAGACCTCAGCTCGCTTACGCCTCCGCGGTCTGGGGGTACGCTGCTCCTAGCTACCGCAAGCGACTTGCTGCTCTAGAGATGAAGCTACTCCGGATCGCCACCAGTGCACCATCCTACGTAAGAAACTCAACCTTGCGTAGAGACATGCATTGGGACACCATTCACGAGTACATGAGGAAAAAAGCGGAGAAGACTTTCCAGAAAGCTCAGGACCACCCGAACGAGCAGCTACGACTCCTCATGGTTTACGATCCGGACGAGAGGCCTCGCAACCGCAGAGCCAAGTACCCTAGACCCAAGTCACAGTTGGCAGGCGCTAACTGGAACCTTGACTAGGAGAACCCGCGGTTGCTCCCCCCCACGGCGTGGAAGCAGAGGACGAGGACCAGGACGACCAGGACCAGAACCCATCAGGACCAGGACCCACCAGGATCAGGAACCACCAGGACCAGGACCCATCAGGACCAGCACCAACCAGGACCAGGACCCATCAGGACCAGGTAACAAACAAGTAGAGGACATGAAACAAGAGTTTCAAGAGAACATAGCAAACCCTCTATCGATGCTCGCTTAACGACATCGATAGAACTGTGCGAGGTAAAGGAAACCAACCCGGCGTTCCCAGAGACTGAAACACATGAGATGTTGTAGCAGACCGCAGGTCACGCACAACACATGGCCTTATCGAGACGCTGATGAGTCGGGCCACGCGGAGGTTAGGGTTTAGTGGGTATTAGGTGGTCTCCTCAAGACAACCTGGAGTCCCACACACGCCGTAGCTCGGGCTATGGTATGGTGCATAAACGCATTCCCCCCTCACAAAAAAATGAGGCTTTCCATTTCAAGTAAGATCTTAAAAAACATCCTGAACTTGAAATTCTTCGTGATGACAATACTTCCTCGCCCATTGGCATGAGAAGTAAAGTGAGTATATTTTTTAAGATCTGAGCATTAGTTACAACTTGAATACTATAAAAGATATTCAAAATAATCAAGAGACTATAAACACAGGCTGTAAATTAAACAATTATATATGATTAAAATGCCTATAAAAAGTTAACTGGTGTTATAAAAAGTATTATGAATTTTAATGTGAATTAAGCCAATCATCAACAAAATATCTCATCTGACTACGATACGAGAATACAAAAAAGACACTTCTAGTGGATCTAAAAGAAAAAATGGCATCAAGTAGGTTGACTCTGTACTTTCTACATAACGCTATCGTCAGTCTACATGTATAACAAAAAATTAACTGGGCCAAGTTAGTCAAACAGACACATACGATTAAAATTTACCATGTTTTTTGGACAATATTGGGGTGCTTTACGATTTGGATCCCTGAGAAAATATGCTCTCCCTCTGGTTCACATCAAAGCGTATGATCGACTCACAAGGCGCTCGGAAATATTTCTCCACCAAGTTTCAAGGATAAATGTACGGATAAATCTGATGAGTAAAATGTGTCTAAAAGGCTGGAGGCGTATAAGTATACGATTGTAAAAAAATTGAAATGCATTGTGTCTACCTACGTCAGAACAAAGCTATTTAGCATTTCATCATTGTATGAAAACATGGCTTTGTTCTACTATATCACAAGATTGATTAGTAGGCAATGCTCGTTTACATATCGGGATTGAACTAAAGAATACTGTTGGACGCTTCGTTCAAACAAAATATCCTGGGATGCCCTTTTTATTGTAGCTTAGTTTACTCTTTTTTGTTCAACAAAATTTTTCATCACGTATTAGAACATTGACTGAATTTTGTTCTAATGGGTAGTTCATTACAATTATGCATGAAATATGATATCAAGTAAATGACCGCCGTGGCTCATGTGGCATGACGTAATCCGTTTCGAGAAATTTTTCGACTACTCTGTGGCACAAATCAGGTCTTTTGTTGGTAATTTCGCGTCTGATCTCCTGTTTCAGCTCCGCAATTATGTTCGGGTTATTCTTGTAGAATTTGCTCTTGAGATACCCCCAAAGAAAATAATCTAAGGGAGTTAAATCACAGGATCGCGGCGGCCAATTGATATCACCGTTACGTGAAATAATGCGACCTGGAAACTTGCCGCGCAGTAATTGTGTCGTTTCTCCTGTTGAAACCAGAGATCTTCGATGTCCATATCTTCCAACTGTTCCCAGAAAAATTCTGTTATCATGTTCCGATTGCAAACGCTCCTCGAAAAAAAAATGGACCAATTACGCCTCCGGATTAAAAGGCACACCAAACAGTCACCTTTTGAGGATGCATTTTCACTTCAACAATCTCTTGGATTTTCAATCCTCAAATGCGGTGTGTTTACAAAGCCCCCAATGTGAAAATGTGCCTCATCGCTAAAGATTATTTTCATTGGAAAATTTACCCCTTGTTCTCTTATCCATTCGGTAAACAGACGGCGCTATTGATGATCCCTAGGCTTCAATTCCTGTGTTATTTGGACTCTGTCTGGGTGTAACTTCAAGTCTTTTGTTAAAATCCCCTGTGTAGTGGAATAGGTAAGGTCCAGTTGCTGCGATCGATGACGAATCGATGATCTTGGATTTTCGGCCACACTTTCGGCAACAATAGCAATATTGTGTTCCGACCGACCTCTACGAGCATGCCTAGGGGTTTTCATGTCAGCGACGGATCCAGTTTGCTAGAATTTTTGCACCAAATTCCAAATTGTCCTCTCACAAGGCCGATTTTGTGCGCGAAAAAATTCAGTGGCGTTTCAAAAAAAAAATTATTTGTAATCTGGCAACTCAATTTGAATCACTCTTTATATATAAGTATTCATCTACAATGATATTGAGTTCTAGGAAAATGAAAAAAAAATTGACACAATATATTATAAGGTACGAGTATATTTTAAATATTTACCAAAAAAATCAGGGTGCAACGTCCGCTAACCCCCTTTCACCGACGACCCGTTACTCTCCTCCAGAAAGTAGTGCCTTTGGTCTTTAATGCTAAATATCCCTTACTCTTTATGGCACGCCATTGTATCGCCAATATGCATCATTTATGCAACAAAAATGGTTGACCCTGTTGCCCACAAATATACCAGATAATTGCTTATATTACGTAATGAAGTTAAGATGGGCGTTTAAATAAATACACCCATACAAACACTATACAGTTCAAAAACGACACTATGCTGCCAAAAATTCTAATAAAATTAAGTTCAGCTCTTACACTTGTTTTGATTGCCAACACTAATTTGTTAGTGTTAATTCGATAGTTTTAAAGAATACTAAATAGTACATTACGTACCTTGATGGAGATGTATGTCATTATTTGCTGAGTACAATAATGGCCTCATCTACCGACGTATGTATAATTGTCTTACTACTATGATGTTCCGCGTCTGATACTTGCTTTCTGTTTCTTTCTGTCAGAAGTTATAGATACAGGAACTGAGCAATGCGATTTTTTGGTATCCTTTGACATCACTTACGTTTACAGCACAATTATTTCGATTTATACGTATATACGAGGGATGTCTTTTAAGTTTTGCATATGGTATTAAAACAACACGGTAGGTAGTTTTAAATGACTTTATTGTCTTTCGAAGTATTCTCCACGAAGATTAATACACATCTGCATGCGCTCGAACCAATTTTCGAAGCACTTATTCCACTCGTTTGCTGGCAGATCCAAAACGGCATTCTTGAATGCGTCAACTGCTTCTTCTGGTGACTGGAACCCTTGACCACGCAGTCTGTTTTTAATTTTCGGGAAAGTAAAGAAACCGTT